GCCATCGGGGTTTCATTGTATGATGCCATCAGGGTTTCATTGTATGATGCCATCAGGGTTTCATTGTATGCTGACATTTAGGTTTAATTGTGCGATGCCATCGGGGTTTTATTGTATGATGCCATCGGGGTTTCATTGTATGGTGCCATCTGGGTTTCACTGTATGATGCCATCGGGGTTTCACTGTATGATGCCATCGGGGTTTCACTGTATGATGCCATCGGGGTTTCATTGTATGATGCCATCGGGGTTTCACTGTATGATGCCATCGGGGTTTCACTGTATGATGCCATCGGGGTTTCATTGTATGATGCCATCGGGGTTTCACTGTATGATGCCATCGGGGTTTCATTGTATGATGCCATCGGGGTTTCACTGTATGATGCCATCGGGGTTTCACTGTATGATGCCATCGAGGTTTCATTGTATGATGCCATCGGGGCTTCATTGTATGATGCCATTGGGGTTTCACTGTATGATGCCAACGGGGTTTCACTGTATGATGCCATCGGGGTTTCATTGTATGATGCCATCGGGGTTTCACTGTATGATGCCATCGGGGTTTCATTGTATGATGCCATCGGGGTTTCACTGTATGATGCCATCGGGGTTTCACTGTATGATGCCATCGAGGTTTCACTGTATGATGCCATCGGGGTTTCACTGTATGATGCCATCGGGGTTTCATTGTATGATGCCATCGGGGTTTCACTGTATGATGCCATCGGGGTTTCACTGTATGATGCCATCGGGGCTTCACTGTATGATGCCATCGGGGTTTCATTGTATGATGCAATCGGGGTTTCACTGTATGATGTCATCGGGGTTTTATTGTTAATGCCATCGGATTTTTATTGTATGATGACATCGGGGTTTCGTTGTTACATGTTGAATTTAATTGCATGTGGATAACAATAAATATAGGAGGGTTTTCACTGTTTCCCACATGCAATGAAATTCAATTGTTATATTTGTTCTGAGTTTAGTAAAAATCTTTTTTTTTGTGGCTTAGCACTATATTAATCGTGGTGCTTGAGATTCAATAATGTGCAGTATCTAATTAAAGGAAGTACGTATAAAATTCACCCAATCTCTAAGGCACCATATGTACATTTCCATCAATTCTACATTACTGCAGGACAGCACGATAGCAGCCAATGATAAAGGCTTCTCCAAACGTTCAAACACATGTTTGATTGACATTAAAAAACCGCATTTCTGTACGTTAGTATAAAGAATATTCAAGATTAGAAGATGGCATGCAGAAAGTTTGAACGATAACAATGCTTGAATGAACACCCTTGTCTGCCCCGTTTAAACAGTGACCACAGGCTTGTGTCATGAGAGACTGAAGCCAAATCGCGCTGAAAGTTATATTCATCTAAAAGTATACCGCTTGACGCAAGCAAATCAACGGTAGATAAGTATGTTTCCACTAAACCCGTTTACTCATGAAATATTGTGTTCACACGTTTGACCTAGTTTATAACGAGTGGGTTAGTGAGTATGGTTTTACCCTGCTTTTAGCAATATTCCAGCAATATCACGGCTGGGGACACCAGAAATGGACTTCACACGTGTACCAATGTCGGGACTCGAACCCGGGTCTTCGGCATGACGAGCGAACTCTTTAACCACTAGGCTACCCGACCGCCTCAGTTTATAACGAATTCCTTCAGTTCTATCAAATAACTTTTTTAAAAGTTATAAACTTTAAGTTATAAAGGGAACGAGTTTATCGACGCAGAGGGGAACCTTTGGCTCCGGTGTGTATTCGAGAGGTCCATCCATTCGGCGAGGGAGGTGTCATGGTGTGGGGCGGTATTTGTGGAGATCAGAAGACTGATTTTGTGATTATACAGGGAAACCTGAACGCTGTGCAGTACAGAGACCAAGTGTTACAGCCAGTTGTGCTTCCGTTCTTACAAAACCAACAGCAGGGGACATTGTTTCAACACGACAATGCCGGGCCCCATACTGCAAGACTCACTCGGAACTTTCTAAACCAGCAGAACGTTGACGTTTTGCCCTGGCCTGCCCACTCACCCGATATGAATCCTATTGAACATCTGTGGGACCATCTTCACAGACAGATTAGAGCACGTCACCAGCCTCCCATCAACAGACAAGAATTGCAGCAGGCCCTGAGAGACGCCATCGATGAGGCGGCGTATCACAGCATGCAGCGAGGCAGCTGGAGGTCATACACGCTATTGAAGGCAACTGTGTCGACAATGAACTTGTAGTGTGTCTGACAATTTTTGGGTGACATTTCAGACAACTTTTGAAAATGAAATTTCTTACCCCTACATTGTTTACCTTGAGCTTACATTACCTGTGATTGCACAATTTCATTCAAACTGTGGATGATCAATCATTTGTTACCCTCCCTAGATTATATTATAATTCACAAAACCTCTTCTTGTTATTTTTTATCGATCATGGAACTCGACCTATTCTTTCTTTTGCCGCCCAGTTTAGTTACACTTAAAATCAATATTAGACTGCTAAACTGTACAATCCCTAAGAACCTAATCGTTTCGACAGACCAGGATTGAGAGGTTGTGTTTTGCTGTACTGACGATAACGGTAAACGGTAATGTCAAAGATCAAACTGTAATTTATTTTCCAAATGATTACATTTTGACAGTTGAAAGCTGGAGAGCCACGGTTTGAATTAGTGAATGTTTATGTTTCAAATGATATGGGAATGTTTGCGTCCTCGAACTAATCCATGTTTAAACAATGACACAAATGTTGGATTGCATTTCAATATCCTGGAATACATTTGACGGGAGTCTCTTAGCCATGCTGATTTATTATGTTTGTATTCCAGGCAACACGACACTTATGAACCATTAATGTTTTATGGAAAAAAATGAAGTTTTATCAATGTTTTTCCTTTAACAAAAGGGGCGTTTTGATTGAAATATTTATCAATATCCCCGCACATTCGTATATTATTCTCAGCCTGTTCAAGGAAGATATGTCACGTTTTCCAGATTGATGGATTTGTCGCGTTTTCCAATTTTTTACAAGAATGTATAATGTTCAGCAAACACAATAATTATAGCGAAAATAAAAAAACAACGCGAAAAACAAAACAAAACGCGAAACCGTTCCGTAAAGCATTCCATATTAATGTAACGCGAGTCTACGCGCTTCCATTGTTAATTAAAATGTACAAAAACCCATTACATTCAACCACTGGAAACCATTATAAAAATAAATTCGTTAAGTGATAAAAAATACTAAAAAATAGTCAGATGTCAATCTCTTTGACGAGGAAATAGCTGATTCTGAACCACGCCCCGCAGACTTCGTTTACATCATGTTTGATCAGTGAGCTCTTCAGACAGTTAACCAGTTATCAAGCTATTTTCAAAGTGCGTTTTTCCTGTTATTCCAGAAGACGTCACTGATAAACTATTCAGGACTATAAATATCACCATTATTGTAAACCAAAGCATAAAAGAATGTATGAATCCCGTTGTCTAGTTACGAACAAGATCGATTTGAACTAATATACAACAAAGAAACAAAGTGTTTGACGCACATCGTCAAATATTTACCATCTCCCTGATTATTAGAAAAGCACTTTGATAAAGCCTCGTCCCTACATCAGTGGAACACACGTCTATTCCGCTGACCGCCTCCGTGGTCTAGTGGTAGGGCGTCCGCCCGGAGAGCGGAAGGTCCGGTGTTCGATCCTCCAAAAGACGTTAAAATATGGTACTTGTTGTTACCCTGTCTGGCGCTCGGCATTAAGGGGCTAAAACAAGGACTGGTCGGCTCGGAGTCAGTATACTGTGTCTGAGTGGGGTAATCACGTTAAACTGCGGCATGGTATCTCAGTGTGCTAGCACTATAAATCGGCATCAGTCCGGACTAGTACAAGCAGACACACACACACACACACACACACACACACATGCACGTCGCTATACAAGTGCAATAATCTTGGACGTGACGTTAAACCCCATTCACCTCACCTCTATTCCGCTTAACATAGAAATGACTGATTCAGCCTTCCTTGCAAACAGGCAAACATAAATTGAAACCTCACAAACTATTTCAACATACATCATCTTCTCAATCGACGGATTTTTATTCATGTTACTGATGAGACCAAAAGTCCTGAAAAACATAGTCTGGGTGTGTTACAAATTCAAACCTTTTCATGGCTCTTAAATGAACATAGATAGAGTTCTTATAGTTTTTGTACAGTCACATGTCGTTAATTTACAAAAAAAAGAAATAACATTTGGATTGTGGTAGAAACAGTTATTTAGATGTTTGCCCTTAAATCATTGGAAACTGGATACATACATCTTCAGTATATTCATCTTCAATACAACTATTTTTACATTTTCTACAAAGTGAGACTCATCTACTCACTCAGTACATTTGAAGAATATCTCTGTCTGTCTGCTGTCATCACTTGAAGACGTATGTACAGTAAACTACGTATATAACGAACACTCTTATAACGAACTGACCGATATAACGAATTTATGTTTTAGTCCCGGCCATTTGTTGTATATATATGTAGACTTGTTCATATTAGTTTCTTTCTTGAAGTCAGGGAAATCAGTCTTTTTCCCTAATTTTATGAGTGAGTGAGTGAGTTAGATTTAACGCCGCTTTTAACAGTATTCCAGTTATATCACGGCGTGTCAGTTTAATGTTGGAGTAAAGTGATGCAGGTCTCATACGTTTACCACTGCGTCCCTTGGGCACGCCAGAAACCTATGATTGTGGGTTCGAATCCCGTTTCGCCCCGATTATGCTTCTAGGTTTGTCAGTCCCATACCCGTGCTCGTGGGTTTCACCGAAGTGGTAAACGTCTAAGACTTCGGTCTTTTTCTCCCACATTAAGCTTACACGCTGCGATATAACCCAACTCACCCACACCACGCTTTAATAATATACTATGAATGTGCAGATACAACCGATTCAAAATAAAACAAAAATAAAAACATATATTCTTTCTTTTTCAGATGACGTCTCAAAACGCTGCTGCTGCTGTATGAAGATGCCGTGTTGAGAGTACGACAACGATGGACAGACACCAAGGTATGCGGCCACACAGGGCGACGTCCCCAGTCTACATCCCAGAGCGGAAGGTGAAACGCCGTCGCAACGATCCAGGGACAGAGGAGATTATTAAATTTGTCCGTGAGTTCCAACTGGAAAAACAGCCTACCCTCCTCCGTCTTCAACGTCGCGCACCCCTCCCAGGTATCGGCGAAGTCGCACCGGCTGTCGGAGACTCTGGTTACGTTGAGAGGACAGAGGTGTCGGACAGTGATGATGATCCCATGCTGGACAGTGAAATAGCCGCGATTGAGGACAATGCTAAATCTCTACGTCGGACAGGGTCGTACTTGAAACTGAAAACTGATTCTCAGTTCAAGAGACGTTTGTCTGTTAATTCTAGATCATATCAACATCTTCCGTCCAAATCTGTCAGTCGAACGAAATTCGCGACAGAGAGTATGCATAGTTCGTTTGGCGGACTTCGACTAGCGCGGCAGAATACATTAATGAAGCAGCTTCCACCAATCAGAAGACAGGAAATACCCGAGAGACCTTCCGCCCCATCGCCTAGTGTCACTCCGCCCCTTCCCGGAGAGGACCTAGATTCTGCAGGTGAACCGGTTGATTTCATAGATCCGGCGTAGTGATTTCATATTTGCACTGCCAGTCATCACGATAACAAACAGTGAACGTTAGCCATTCGGATATGCAGCTGTTGTAAGACGTCGATATGTTTCACTGAGGATAAGTAAACGCAACTGCGTGTTACTTACATACGCTTAGTGCTGTTGCACAGCAGAAACCAACGTGTTTCTTTCTCATTCCGTTGCAGCATGTGGCCAATATGATGATATTGGTGTCAATTTGATCATGTCATAATTCCCAGGAGCATTCATTTGTTGCTCATGGGACCACAGCGTGTCAACGTGCAAATTGGACTGATAAGGATTCTGGGTCAAGGTACAAAAGGGACATCACTCACGGATTACATTTACTTTGTCGATGACCCATAAACATGCTACTACAAGTACTTAAAATGTAAGATATGAACGTGTGAACCTTACAGCATCCATCTTCGGTAGTCCAGGCTTTTGTGTAAGTCGTATCCATGGCAACGGCGGCGTTGTAGCCGACTTGGGACATACGTCAACTCATCGCATCATGGCGACTAGCATGAACCGTCGCGAGATCCATGACACGTTGAACTGTCAGTGAAGCTGAAATTACATGGACGTTGATCCGGGCTTACCCAGACTGTACATGGAGCACTAACATTCCTTCGTATGAGTGAGTGAGTGAGTGAGTGAGTTGGGTTTAACGCCGCTTTTAACAGTATTCCAGTTATATTACGGCGTGTCAGCTTAATGTGGGAGGAAAGCCCGAAGTGATGCAGGTCTCAGACGTTTACCACTTTGGTGAAATCCACGAGCACCGTTATGGTGCTGACAAACCTAGAAACATAATCGGGGCGAACCGGGATTCGAACCCACGATCATAGGTTCCTGGCGTGCCCAAGGAACGCAACTCTGCACAGCGAATCGCGGCGCCTTAGACGACTGGGCCACCCGTGCCCTCCTTCGTATGAACGATCCAGAGCAAGGAAATCTAATCCATACCTATCAGAGCTACCGCCATGTCCCCAATACAGGTGCACTTTAAATGGCTATAAAGTACTATCAAATTGTTCAATGTCAAATTGTTACACTACTGAAGTTTCTAGTACTCAGTTTCTTAAACATCCATTGTTTTGTAGCGAAAATATTTCAGCAACCTCAGATAACAATGTGATATTAAACTTCAATGCTTTGATGACACGGATATGCTCCTTACACTGCGGAAGTTTCTAGTGCGCAGACTCGCTTCATAAAACACTCCCAAAGAATTTGAGCTTTTTAGACAGCTTATGTTTTATAATGAAACTCTCTGTGTCATCTTTCAACAACCTCAGATTCACACGTGATATTAGTCTTTAATGCCTTGCCGGCATGACCTTTTTTCTACATGAGCTTTTATGCATTCGGTGTTATTGATTTCTGTTCAAACACGTGCGGGAATGCGTGCGACCACTGTCCATTCGGTACAGGAAGTAGATTGTGTAGGCATATGTGTGTAGACGAGTGAAGTGGAACCGTGTGCAAAACTGATTCTTTATTTGAAGATAGAAATACATGTAATGACTATAATCAAAATGGAACTAAGGAACCATGTCATATTTGTCATATTGTAGCCGAAACTGAAATAATTATTGTCGTAATACATGCTTGGCTTGTTCCGGAAACGACACAAGAAATTATTCTTGAGAACGAAATATTGTTCGAGCGCTGCTCAGCGTATAACCGCTTCAATATGAAGTATTCATATCATGTTGATGAAGCAAATGACGACCACAACAATATATGATGGCCAGTCAGAACGACGAGTCATGAAACGTAAATGCGAACTTCGACAGTTTCCGTGCTAATGATGGTTGTGTCGGTTCTTCCGACAGTACACGACGAGTTCCGATTGATTGATGAAAACTTTTTAAATGCCTTTGGCAGTGACCACTTTCCAATGTATATTTTGGATCGACTGTTTGTGTTGGACTGTGTGGGTTTGTGGACAATCCAGATGTGTTGAAAGGACAACGCAATTTCTAATATCTATCTACCTCAAGTTGTTTTAATCGTATCAGTGCCATGCATATTTTCATAGATCGTTTGTACGCGTTTGCATGTTATAGAAAGACAACTATTGTATTTCATCGGATTATGTATAAAGATGATCTTTTGCATTCTTACATATTATTTAATAAATGTTCATACAGAACCGTGTTGTTTTTTATACATGACGTGTTGTTTTTTTATACATGACGTGTTGTATTTTATACATGACGTGTTGTATTTTATACATGACGTGTTGTATTTTATACATGACGTGTTGTATAAGTTTTATACATGACGTGTTGTATTTTATACATGACGTGTTGTATTTTATACATGACGTGTTAATCGAATAACAACGGTCCCCGTTTCCCATTGACTGAAATGTTGAATGTCGCACAGTTGAATAATTAACTCAAGGGAGTAGAAAAATGTTTGACGTCACAAAGCGTTACGGAGTCGATCAATAGTGATATGTTGTAAAATGGAATTTTTCAGGATTTGTTCATTTGTCAAAGAAAAGGAAATTAGATTTAAAACTTTTTTTTTGTATTCAGTATTCAATTTCGGTTTAAAAAAATAATGATCAGTCATTGTCGATCTACAGGTACAGGTTTATACAGTTATTGATGCAGCAAAATGCCCTGGTGAATCTACAGTAAACCACGGTTATAACGAACACAAAGGGACCACTAATTTTAGTTCGTAATAACCGTAGTTCGTTATAAGCATATATAAAACATATATACAACACATGGCCGGGACTAAAAAATAAGTTCGTTATATCGGTGAGTTCGTTATAAGCGTGTTCGTTATAAACGTAGTTTACTGTAATTCAATGTGTAGACACTTCTTTGAAGAAATAACTTGGTCTTATTTAAGGTTTCTTAACACACTCGAGACATTCAATGTAATTAATTTTGATTCTTAACAGACTTAAAATACATAACCAAGTTACAAATCGATCCAACCAAAGGGGGCGGTCGGGTAGCCTAGTGGTTAAAGCGTTCGCTCGTCACGCCGAAGACCCGGGTTCGATTCCCGACATGGGTACAATGTGTGAATATTGCTGGAATATTGCTGGAATATTGCTAAAAGCGGCGTAAAACCATACTCAGTCAGTCAGTCAGTCCAACCAAAGGTCTGGGCCCATTGCTGGCCATGGAATTGTATGGTGCTGTGCTGCTGGCGGTGAGCGTTGACGATTCCTGAACGGTTGGGCGTTGCCGTCCTGAAAGAGAAAACGCCTACCCACACGCCTTGCAAACGGGACAACAAAGGAATCAGTTTGTTGTCCAGATAGGTCTGTCCAGTGACCCTTCTTTTCACATATGGTGAGGTGGTGGTGAGGTGAAATGGGGTTTAACGTCGCGTCCAAGATTATTGCACTTATATAGCGACGTGCATGTACGTGTGTGTGTTTGTGTGTCTGCTTGTACTAGTCCGGACTGATGCCGATTTATAGTGCTAGCTCACTGAGATACCATGTCGCAGTTTAACATGAATACCCCACTCAGACACAGTATACTGACTCCGAGCCAACCAGTCCTTGTTTTAACCCTTTAACGCCGAGCGCCAGACAGGGTAACAACAAGTACCATCTTTTAACGTCTTTTGGTATGACGCGGCCGGGGATCGAACCCCGGACCTTCCGCTCTCCGGGCGGACGCTCTACCACTAGACCACGGAGGCGGTCCCTTCCACATATGGAGTTTGAATCGGTCATGCATAGTGATGAACGTATTGGCAACTGCATGCCGAGCTCATACACAAACAATGAATGAATGAAATATGTAATGGGGGATATTGGAATATACAAATGCTTACAGAAATACAAAGAGATGACGAGTAATGTTGATGGATGGATGGATAGGACAAGGTGTGTATCCTGACAATCAACAGAATACGTTGGCGGTGTATTGTAAGGGTGCAATCAAACAAGAAAGACGAATCAGTTGAGATGAGATGTTCTAATGTGCTATGCCCTTAACGATTGGTCAAACATCCTTTATACGGCATTGCGTTGACGGAATCCATCTCCCAAAGACAATTTGGGGGAGTCTTGTCCATTCCTTTCGCAGCACCTGGCTCAGTTCGACTGACGTAGGTTGTGGCCTTTGACGTCGGCGTACACGTTTGCCGATCATGTCGAAGACGTGCTCTATTGGTACGGACTCATGGCTCTGGTTCTTGCCATTGCATTCTGCAGGAGGTGATCAGTTACGATATGTGAACGGTGGGCATTAACCCCGGAAAGCAGTATCCGGATAAACGACATTTCATAAAACATTGTATGTTTGTGTTTGTTTGTTGTTTAACGTCACATGCTAATGACGTCTGTACATAATCGAGTCTTGACTAGACCATCCAGTGATTGATATTATAAGCCAATATCGTCGAGATACGATGACACGTTATCAACCACGTGACCGAGACTTTACGGTGGGCTAGCCAAGTGGTTAAAGCGTTCGCTCATCACGCCGAAGACCCGGGTTCGATTCCCCACATGGGTACATTGTGTGAAGCCCATTTCTGGGGTCCCCCGCCGTGGTATTATTGCTAAAAGCGGCGTAAAACCATACTCACTCACTGGCCACCCTGACGACCAGCATGGGTCGCATGGGGCCAATTCTAACCCGGAATTCGAACCCGGAACTATAAATGTAGTTTCATGTGAGAATAATAAAAATATTGCACGTGATTTGTAATATGCCAAGGAGCACATTTCCATGTTATCATATGTCCAACGGGTTATCATATGACGTTATCACATGATCACAACTTGTCAGTTCCCGACTGGATCCGTATCACAAAGTCACGTGACACCTGCCACACGCAGTAACTGATCTAGCGGGCGTCTATAAACTTGCTGATATCTGACAGAAGATCGCAATTAGCAGATATGTGGTAACAAAGAGGTCGCGATGCTGCGTAGGCAATGTGCGCAGATACATATCACACGTCGGCGAAGTGTGTAATTGGGACAGTGGTGGGTCTTCGTCAACAGTTTCGACAGGAACGAGGGTGGGAGTCGGGTTGATACGACAACGTGGTGTTGCTTTCATGGGAGTACACACAGTACCTGATCTAGACTACCAGTTGTCTGACTTTCATTTTGTGGAGGTCTCGGTGGCTGAGTGGGTTAGATCGCTGACTTTGTGTGCTGGCGATTAGGTGCCTCACTCTGGCAGGTGTGGGTTCGAATCCCGGATGGAACTCAATCTCTTGTTTCAACATGTAATACTCAAAAACGTGGACAGTAATACTCAACAACGTGAACAGTAAAAGTCAACAACGTGGACAGCAAAACTCAACAACGTGTACAGCAATACTCAACAACGTGGACAGTAATACTCAACAATGTGGACAGTAATACTCAACAACGTGTACAGCAATACTCAACAACGTGTACAGCAATACTCAACAACGTGGACAGTAATACTCAACAATGTGGACAGTAATACTCAACAACGTGGACAGTAATACATAACAACGTGGACAGTAATAGTCAACAACGTGGACAGTAATAGTCAACAACGTGGACAGTAATAGTCAACAATGTGGACAGTAAAAGTCAACAACGTGGACAGTAATACTCAACAACGTGGACAGTAATACTCAACAATGTGGACAGCAATACTCAACGTGGACAGTAATAGTCAACAACGTGGACAGTAATACATAACAACGTGGACAGTAATACTCAACAACGTGGACAGTAATAGTCAACAACGTGGACAGTAATACTCAACAACGTGGA